GCTGGCCACAGTTCAAGTCCCAGACCTGGTGACTTGCTTTCTCTCTCTCTTTCTCTTTCTCTCTCTCTCGGGCCAAATTAAATAATAATAATAAACAATAAAGTTAAATAAATAATTCTTTTAAAAGGAAAGAAAGAAATTCCCATGGTGGAGCAAGGCGAGGCTGGCATGCCAGCTTCAGGGGCCACAGCTGGGACACTGATGACAGTCACTATTGGCCCTTCCTGTGACTTGCTGTGATTTGCTGCGTGTCTGCCTCTGACCACCTCTGTCCTTTTCATTTGTTCTTTTTCATTCATTTATTCTGGTACTTTTTGAAGGCCTACTATGTGTTAAGCAGTAGAGATGGGGTGAACAGTAAGACGCCCGTGACACACAACCTAAGGGAATTCACCTTTCACCAGAGGAGGCAAGGATAAACACGTGCTGGGTACAGGGAACGCCAAGCACAGGGCCACACTGAGGTCTGGGAAGGGCACCTTGGAGAAGTGCATCTGGGCAGGGAGAGAGGGGTCTGGCCCCGCGTGAGCGCTTCGGAGGTGTTCACAGAGTGGATGGGAGAATGCACAATCAGGTGAGGAGGGGGAGGAGGCTCTGATTAACTCTGCATCAGAAGCCAGGAATTTGACTGAAAGCTGTCTCAACCAGGACAAGTGAAAAGCATTTTAGGTGTCACTCCACTGGACTAGACACGCTTTGTTTTTATCGAACCCTACAGAATGAAGCCAGCCACTCACTGCCCAAGTCTCCGTGAAGATCCTTCCTCCGTGAAGAGCCTGTGCAATTCTGGCTCATGCTCCCACGGATGTGGCTTTTCTGGCACAGTCACCAGGATTACCTTGGAAGATTTGTCACCCACCACTGCCTTAACAGGGCTGTGACAGCTCTGTCCAGGAAAGCCAACGCCTGCTGCAAAAGGACATTTAATTTGGAGCCCATTTTTATCCCTGGAGATTTCATCAGCATGACATTTTATCAGTCAGTCAAAACTTGCCATCTGGGGACCAGTGTTGGCGTAATGGCTATGTCGCTGGACTCCCATGTAGTTGACCGCAATTCTAGTCCCGGACCCGGTGGCTTAAACTCACGCTGGGTGCATGTGCGTGTGTGCCCAAGATCCCGAGAGGAGAATGGAGAAGGGATTGCGATGTGGCCATCCCCTCTGGGGGGTGATTTCTCGCTTTCTGTCTCTCTGTCTCTCTGGCAAGCGCACACACCCTACAGCAAGTTAAGCAGTAGAGATGGGGTGAACAGTAAGACGCCCGTGACACACAACCTAAGGGAATTCACCTTTCACCAGAGGAGGCAAGGATAAACACGTGCTGGGTACAGGGAACGCCAAGCACAGGGCCACACTGAGGTCTGGGAAGGGCACCTTGGAGAAGTGCATCTGGGCAGGGAGAGAGGGGTCTGGCCCCGCGTGAGCGCTTCGGAGGTGTTCACAGAGTGGATGGGAGAATGCACAATCAGGTGAGGAGGGGGAGGAGGCTCTGATTAACTCTGCATCAGAAGCCAGGAATTTGACTGAAAGCTGTCTCAACCAGGACAAGTGAAAAGCATTTTAGGTGTCACTCCACTGGACTAGACACGCTTTGTTTTTATCGAACCCTACAGAATGAAGCCAGCCACTCACTGCCCAAGTCTCCGTGAAGATCCTTCCTCCGTGAAGAGCCTGTGCAATTCTGGCTCATGCTCCCACGGATGTGGCTTTTCTGGCACAGTCACCAGGATTACCTTGGAAGATTTGTCACCCACCACTGCCTTAACAGGGCTGTGACAGCTCTGTCCAGGAAAGCCAACGCCTGCTGCAAAAGGACATTTAATTTGGAGCCCATTTTTATCCCTGGAGATTTCATCAGCATGACATTTTATCAGTCAGTCAAAACTTGCCATCTGGGGACCAGTGTTGGCGTAATGGCTATGTCGCTGGACTCCCATGTAGTTGACCGCAATTCTAGTCCCGGACCCGGTGGCTTAAACTCACGCTGGGTGCATGTGCGTGTGTGCCCAAGATCCCGAGAGGAGAATGGAGAAGGGATTGCGATGTGGCCATCCCCTCTGGGGGGTGATTTCTCGCTTTCTGTCTCTCTGTCTCTCTGGCAAGCGCACACACCCTACAGCAAAAATGTCTCAAAAAACCCGAAACAAAACAGAACTTGCCATCTGGAGGACAGAAGCAACTGATGACAAGTGCCACCCCTGCAGGGGGGCACCCCCCAGTCACATACCTTCGAAAGCCAACCTGAAGAACAGCGTTACTAAATCATCATGTTTAATAGCAGCAAAGATTAATCGGCCGGCGATGGGAAGCACGCTTTTCAGGCTTCACGTGGTGTAGGACCAGATCTGTCCGTAACTTGAACAAAACGAAGACCCCCTCGCAAGAGGTGCAAACGCAGCCTGCTTTCCTCTGCCTCTCTTGTCATTCCTCATACTCACCATCTGGAAAAACTAAACAGAAGGACTGCGGAGAATGAGGACTCTCTTGATGAAACACGTGAAGGAAAACAAGGAGGGCAAAGTCTCTAGAAGTGGGTTTTGGAAAACTTTCCCCCTGTCTTTCCGCTCTTGTAAGATTTCAGAGTTAATCAAGCATTAAGTGACTTCAGGGAGTGTGGGGTGAGTGTGTGAGCTCCTCCACTGCTCAGTGCCTGTATTTTGAATTTGTGTGGTATCACAGAGGGTGAGTACAATCCTTGTTATTACCATATAGGCGTGGTGGTTAAGGGGCTGGACTTCCCACACAGCCAACCATGGTTTGAGTCCCGGACCTGGGGACTTGCTTTCTCACTTTCCCTCTCTTTCTCTCTCTGGAGAGCCGATAGCAAATTAAATAATAAATAAATAAATAATTATTAATTATTAATTAAGAGTTTGGAAGACTCTTAAGCAATCTTTTTTTTTTTTTTACAGAGGTTTTTGCTATAGGGCACGTACACTCACCAGAAAGACGGAGAGAGACAGAGAGATAAAAGGTGAGAAATCACCCCCCAGGGGGTGATGGCCATGCCACAATCCCTTCTCCTCCACTCTCCTCTCGGGATCTTGGGCACACACGCACACACGCCTGGCGTAAGTTTAAGCCACCGAGTCCGGGACCTGAACCATGACTACATGGGAGTCCGGTGACAAAGCCATTATGCCAACTGCTGGTCCCTCTCTTAAGCAATCTTAATGCATCTGTGTGATGAGCAAGTGGATAAATCCTCACACCCCTGTCTTGAAATCTCGAGAGAGGTAAGAAAAGGTTAATTCACTTGTTGAAGGTTACGTCAATCTTTGGAGGTCAGGGTAGTGAAACTCAATTTTCTGACGCGCATATAAAAAGATGCCAACTCTGTCATCCCTCCAGCAAACTCAATGCCTGCTGGCTGCCACAGTTCGATCTGGTCTTATTTGCCTAAACACACAAAGCCCCAAGGAGGTTTTTCCCATAGGGGAAGTCTCCTCTTAATTTTGAAAAAAAAAAAAAAAAAAAAACCAAAAAAACAACAAAAAAACAAAAATAGTATTTCTTCCAGCTATTTTATAGCAATTAGAAACTCGTCAGAAGAAAGACGTTTGGCTTCTTACTGCTGGCGTCACCAGGTAAAAAGGGACCCAAATCACCCAAATGAAGGTTTTTCATAATGGAAGGGCTCGTCAACTTGAGCGCTGTTTTCACATTTACAGACAAGGAACCCCAACCTCCAGGTCACACACCCGTACCGAACCTTATTATTACAATAATAATAATAATGAAATACATAATAAATGTAGTGGGCTTGAATCATCCTGAAACTATCCCCCTTCTGCCCCCGAACATGGAAAAACTGTCCCCAATGCGAAAGAGGTTGGGGACCACTGCTTATATAAATTTCCTACTGTCAGGCGTGTGTGCGTGCATGCCCAAGATCCCGAGAGGAGAATGGAGGAGAAGGGATTGCGGCGTGGCCATCCCCCCTGGGGGCTGATTTCTTGCTTTCTGTCTCTCTGTCTTTCTGGCACGCGCACGCGCCCTATAGCTGAAAATCTCTCATAAATAAATAAATAAATAAATAAATAAATAAATAAATATCCTACCATAAGATACAGCAGAGAGGCCAGATTCCTTAAGCTCGTCGTATTGAATACATTAAACTGCAATATCTTTCTCCAAGGACTGGAGATTACAAACATCTTCTGGACCTCACCTCTTTCCAGATTTTCCTATTTACTGGTTAATAAAGTCATTAATAACACAGTTTTGGCTGCCTGTGTTCAGCCTATCATGATTACGATCCATTAGATGCAAACATTTGATTAAAGTTCTAGCTTTATCATACATGCTCATATCTTCTACCCCCCCCAAATAAAGTCAGAATAAAAGGACTTAATATTCCCAAGAAGTGCTGATTCATGAGTTTCTCCAAAATGATGACCAGCATATAAAAAGTCCCTCTCAGCTGCTGTGTTCTAGAAGAGAGATCTACGGATAAACAAGCAGTCTTTGAAGCTGACCTTCAATTTGTTATCTTGGCTAAATTGATCAGAAATGAGCCAGAGTGGCAGGGCAGGGGAGGCTGGCTGGTGGGTGGGACGACTGAAAACATCTTCAGGAACCCAAAGCCACCATTTAACAAAACCTTTAAATGGCATGAGTCACCCGGCACTCCGAAGTGCAAATCACAAGGTTACACGTCAACTCCTTAGAAACAGCACCCGGTTCTGAGCTGGGCTGCTACAAACGCTAGCATCGGACCGGACCCGCCATGAAACCTCAAGCCCAGGTAGACTGGACCTCGCTCTCCAGGACACGCACGTCCCTCTAGCCAAACCGAAAACAACCTTCGACAGAAACCATAGGTTACAATCTTCCAAGGACGCCGAGCCAAGGAGAAAGAGAGCTGGCAAAGAGAATTCCTTTGACAGGACCCCATCTCCTCCCCTCTCCACTCCCACCCCTTCGGCGGACGGGAACTCGAATTGTTCGCAATCTGAAGTTTTAAATACGAATAAATACTGAAGTCAGAAACAGGTACCTGCAAACACCTGGCTCTCTCCTCGCCGGCTCGCTCTCTCTCCTCCCACACTCTGGCAACGGAATGCCCTTCAACATCATGGCTCAGTGCTTTTGGTAAATGTTTTACAAGACACTAAAACAGCCTGGGTCCCACCCTCAGAGCAAACACCATTGAGAGAACACAATATAATGGTCGTGAAGATATCAGTGTACAATAATGGAAATGAACACGCAGGACTCCTGTCCCCACTTCCTCTTAAAGGGGAAAAAAAAATCCCAAACTTCTGGGTGGTGGGGTTGGACTAACAGGAAGAGCTGGAAGAAATAAAGCTTGAGACTAGAATCCTTAAGAGCTTTTCTCTTGTTTTCACAGGCTGCATTATGATAAGCTCATTGGTTTAATCCCCCAACAAGCCTTGGCTTGTTAAACTGAAAAACTGTCAAAGCAGAGAATTAAGTAAGGGTACAATTCACCTAGCGAATCTGTAGACCCGGCGACAATTCCATAGGGACCAGGAATTCCTAGGTATGGAAGGAAGAAAATGCAACTCGAAACAGTGATTCACACACCATCTTCCACCCAAACAAAATGGGCTTCCCGTTTTCCATATTCCTCAAGTTATTCGGGGTTAAAATCCAAACTCTGCTTCCAAACCAGAAGTTTTGCATTCCATTCAAGTTAACAATTACAAATGGAGAAGAACAACAGAAACTCCAAACTATTAGCACACCCAGCATGGCAGGTGCCCCGGTACCAGCAGGGTTAACATACAGAGCGGGTGCTGCCTGGCTTTCTGGAAACGACACAGGGAGACGCCAGGCCCGGCCCACACTGGCAGCATGCGCCTACCTGCTCCAGGAGCTGAGAGAGGCAGAGTGAGAAATGAGAAAGCTCAAGCTATTTACTACCGTCCCGGCTGCTCGCTATAAGAAAGCCAAGGCCATCCTGGGAGGGACAGCTAGCTTTGGAAGCCCCACAGGAGTTGGGCAAACACAAAAACCCACTCTCTCGTCCTCCGCTCCCAAGGCCCAGCTCCGTCCCTTTAAGAGGCCTGGTGAGAGGACAGAAAACTAAACTTGGAACTGACCTTTCGATTTTCTAGACTCCAGCTGTGTGGCCTTGAGGAAGACCCTCACACTCCCTGAGCCTGAGCCCTTATCTGGGAAATGAAAATGAACCACCCAGAAATCTCAAGAACAGAAAATCCTGCAATTCCACCTAGCAGAGAGCACCCAGCAAAGGGCCCCCGGGCAGTTCTTTGCATTTGCAAATCCTCCTAAAAGCTCTTGAAACATTCTTCTCCTGCTCCCTAAAGTGCAGACAGGCCCCAATGTATTTCCAGCATCTCCCAAGTTCTAGAAGCTTCAGGGTAGTTCTAGGGCTAAGGACAATGGACTCCACTTCTCTGTCCTGTGCTGGGGCCATCTGTCTGGAATGGCACGAGGAATGATGGCTTATCTGGCCACTCAAGGGGCCTGGCCACAGGGCAGATACGCCCTGGCGATGTGGTTTTATTTCACAACCTGCTCCCCTCCCGCCCTCTACCACGGTTAGCTAACCCGGTTACGCACTCCCACTGGGCTGTTCTTTTCCTTCTTCCTTTCCTGCCTTGCCTCCCTGGGACAGACATGACAGGGATGGAGGGCAACCATTCTCATCACCTACTTCTTCTGTGGTTTTATGTGGCACGTCCAACCCCGGTGTGGGAGGTGAGACAGTGTGGGAGGTCACCCCAGTACTACAGATGAGGAAACGGAGACACAGAGACACCCGACAACTAGTCCACGGTCACAGAGCCTTTGTTGGTGAGAAGGGGCTGACGCTGGGCTGTCCCGACAGGCCGGGACCCTCCTGTGGCCAGTCAAGACACGGGCCACCTCCCCATCCTAAACACACCTCGTCAGTGCCACAGGTTTGCGCCTGGTCTACTCTGCCGTCCTGCCCAGGGTGGCGAGCTGTCCTCCAATGGCTCTCATCTCTTTCCACCTTCCCTCCGGGCTGGCGGTCCCCTTATTCTGACCTTTTTTCCCCCAGAATTATTTTATTTAACTTCATTGATTTTGCATTTGACCAGAGAGGGACACACAGAGAGAGAAAGTGGGAAAGCAAGGCACCAGGTCCGGGACTTGAACCATGGTTGGCCATGTGGAGTCGAGCATCCTTAACCACCACCTGCCGGCCCCAACAAACTCTGTTTTGAAATTGGAGCCCTCGTTTGACCGTGAAACCTATCCAAATAATCTGTATTTCCTCAGTTAAGTAAACCTTCATGTTCACTTTCTCTAGGGTCGCAGATGTGCTGTTTGGCTTTAAACCCAGGGGGCTGTGCTCCCTCTGCGCTGTATTATAAGAGCACTGCTGTGCTTCTGTTATCAAGTATTTTATCTCACACTGCTCAGAGACTAAAGTCTGTGGCCCTGAGGGAGAGCAATGCCCTCTGTGCTATATAAGGTGGTTTTTTTTTTTTTTAATATTTTTTCAGAATTATTTAACTTTATTTATTTTCATTTGACCAGAGAGGGAGAGAGAGAGAAAGTAAAAAAGTAAACCTGCAGGTCCAGGACTCGAACTGTGGTCAGCTATGTGGGAGTCCAGCACCTTAACCACCACACCACCTGCCGGCTCCTCTGTGCTATATAAATGTTTTACCACAGTGGTTCTCACCTCCAGCCGACGAGTCTAAGTTTTTGTGCCACCATCTTGGGGACGGCAGGGTGCAGTTACGGCCTTAAACTGTGGAGTTCTGATGGGACAGAACTATTACTACGGTCAGGGCCTGCTTGAAAGCATCTGTCCCTTCCGAAGCCCGTGCCTGGCCTGGGCATCTTTGCAGCTAGCATACATGTGGCCTGCAGAATGGCTTCTATTCCGGAAGGGGTTTTGCACTCTCTTGGACACTAAGAATGAGCACAGAAGCAGAGGTCGAGGCTTCATGGAGTGTCCCAGTCTCCCAGAGTCTCCCAAAGGCCTTGAACATCCATCCTCAAGTCCCTTGAGCCACTTCAGTTCTCTGGAGAGGGCTTCGGAGAGCGCCCTGCGTGTGGCCTCAGAAACTTGGTCAGCCAGCCCGGCCTTAACCCAGACCCAAAGGAAGGGCTCAACAGCCCATGGTGGTTTCCAGAACTGCCCATGGGAGGGAGGATGGCTGACGCAGACGAGAAGAGCAGGTGGTGGGCCGGCACCGCTCAGCACGCCTGTCACTGTTGTCACCCGCTAGACTGGCAGTTCTCCCAGTGAGAAGCCTGGAACCCAGGGGACGCCAAGGCTCCTAGAAATGCCAACGTCCTTGCCTTTTTCACTGCGCTGGCACCTGCAGCAGTGAGGGGAAGGCGATGACAGCAGAGTGGCTGGAGCTGTCAAAGGCCACCCCATCAAGGTGTACTGGTGACCGTGACGCGCCTCACCACCGGGCGGTCGGTTTTTGTTTCATCTTGTTTTAAAGCCAATTTTTTCTTTCTTTTTCTTTTAGATTTTTGCCATAGGGTATGTGCGATCACCAGAGAGACAGAAAGAGAGGGAAAGTGAGGAATCACTCCCCAGAGGGACAGCCACACTGCAACCCCTTCTCCTGTTGGGATTTTGGGTGCATATGCACACATGCTCAGCATGCTTTGCAAGCTATCAGGTCCGGGACTCAAACCACGAACTTGGCCAGTTAGGATAAGGGCCTTAACCCCCTTACTACCTGCTGGCCCAAAGTCAGTTTTAAGAATGTATTTGCTGGGGCTGGCAGGTGGCATGGTGGAGGAGGATGGGGGAGAGGGATTGTGGCATGGCCATCCCCTCTAAGGGGTGAGGCTTTCTCACTTTCCCTCTCTGTATCTCTCTGGCAAGCACATGCGCGCTATAGAAAAAGAAAAAGAAAGGAAAAGAAAAGCGCTTGGGTGTGCACGTGAGGCTTACTAAGCGCAGTAGGGGCAGCTTCCTGGTCAAGAGCGAGATGGTAGCAACTGCTGTGAGCAGAATGGGAACGAGAGAAAACAAGCCGCCAAGTCCAGGACTCAAACTATGGTCGGCCATGTGGGAGTTAAGCCCCTTAATCACCACCCCACATGTTAGGTTTTTACTTAAAAGTGAATACTCAGTTTGTATCACAAAATTCCAAACCTGGAAAAATCCTTCAATACAGCCTAGTCTGTAACAGGTCACGCTTGAAATTGTGCCCTCTGGTTAAATGAGATATCCCAAGTTGCGTGCTAATTGTCAGCCGAGCAGAGACCAGGAACTTGGTTGGGTCGCTGGAAAAGTCATGATGCATTTTTGCATAGAGAAATATAGAAAAATACTTGTGAATTTTCCGACAACTCAATAGAACTAAAAGTTCAGCAAATATTTATGAAGTTTTCCTACACACCCAGCACTGGCTAGGCACCTTGGGGACTCTAAGTGTAAGAAGACTCCTGCTCATAAAAACCTTTGGACTCACTAAAAATACCGCCAATGCGCATGCGCGTGAAGCAAGTGTCTTCTGACTTGCACCGCATGTCTAAACCAGGGCTGTCTGAGACAATATTCCACAATGGTGGAAGAGGTGGAGTACTTCTGTACCAGGCCAGCCAGTGGCCTGGTGCTGGGGTGGGCTGCATCCCACAAAGTCAACTCCGCAGTTCAAATCCCAGGCCCAGCAGCTTCAAAATCACACCAGCCCTGTGTGTGTGCATGCCCAAAATCCCGAGAGGAGAAGAAGGGAATGCGTGGACACGTGGACATCCCCTCCCTGGGGGCATTGCTTTCTCACTGTCCCTCTCTGGCGAGCACACAAACAATAGCAAATTTTAAAATAAACAAACAAATAAGAAAGGTCCTGCCTCTTTGCTGTCCACTGGCTAACTGAACCTCTGAAATGTGGGTTATGTCACTAAAGGACTAAACTTCTTAATTACATATGAGAGGTTTTCGCTATAGGGCATGTGCGCTCGCCAGACAGAGAGAGACAGAGAGACAGAAAGCGAGAAATCACCCCCCAGGGGGGATGGTCACGCCACAATCCCTTCACCTCCATTCTCCTCTCGGGATCTTGGGCACGCACGCACACGCGCCCGGCGTGAGTTTTAAGCCACCGGGTCCAGGATGCGAACTGCGGTCGACTACGTGGGAGTCCAGTGACATAGCCATTACACTACCTGCTGGTTCCCATTACATATG